TAATAATTTATAAATTATCTAAGGGTTCTTGAGGGAGGGACAGGGAGGGAGGGAGAGAAAAAATGAGGAGCTAATACCAAGGGCTCAAGTAGAAAGAAAAATGCTTTGAAAATGATGATAGCAACATATGTACAAATGTGCTTGACACAATGGATGCATGTATGGATTGTAATAAGAGCGTACAAGCCCCCAATAAAATGATTTTTAGAAATCTTAAATTTATATTAAAAAAAACCCCAAACATCAGACTTACTGGCCCGCTACAGCCTGGAGGCACCCCATGAATATCATCTTCAGATTCCCTTTTGACTCGGATCAGAAACCACTGTAGGAGCACCCCTCTCCACTATGTGGTGGACTGGTCTATCCAATAATCATACCAGTGAGTGATGTATTCCTTAGAACAGTTCATTCTACCAGATCAAACACAGTGAAATGGCAGGGAGGGACAGGGAAATGGGACGAATAGACTCAGGGACCACAGGGTAGAAATAGGATAAGGGTTGACACATTGTAGAGATTGCAACCAATGTCATGAAACAATTGGTGAATTATAGCATGGATAACATGTTCAACACAAAGCACAACAGAATGCTTTTGAAAATATTGGTCCACAAAGTGAAACATAGGCCATCATGCACTCTGTGGAGCCAGCTTTCTGCTTCAAAGAACCTGGACCAAGGGTTCTGAGCAAGTGAGCAGGAGGAGTGGCCGTGAAAGCCAGGGACTCTTGTAGCGATGCTTCCTGGACTACAGTCACCCTGAGACCGTCGTCTAGCTACTGCGGGATGCAGCTTTCCAGTGGGCTCATTATCTCCTCGGCACCCAGACTGGCCATGCTCCCTCCGCGTCTGACTCTCACTTGAGAGTAAAAGCTTTCAGCCTAAAAGCTTTAGGCCAATTCAGCTGCTCAAAACTCACTCAGAGGAATGACCGATTCACCAAAAGAGAAATTCATTCAATGTATTCATCATTCTTATTTATTTATAAATACACCATCGCCTTTAAAATATTAAATAAAACTTTCTTATAAGTGCAACGAGCACTTCAGCTTTGCATAATGGGATTTTCAGTTTATATTGGTTTGTTCTGAATTATTTAAATTTTTTTCTTTTTCTTTTAAATTTTAACTTATCTATTTCTCTTGCCATTTTCTCAGTAGGATATCCATTTAAGTTTATTAATTCTTCCAGTTAATTATAAAATTTATGGCAATTCATATTAAATTGAAGACTTTAAATCATTATTGACTTTTCTACATAAGTTTTAGTTGTTTGGCTTTCGTAGAAGCATTTTTTTTTTAAGTTTAAACCATAACTTAACACTCATTGCCATTGAGTTGATTCTGACTCATAGTGATTCGATGAACCCCAAACCATGGTCTTTTAAAAAAATTTTATTGAAAGATCATTTTATTGGGGCTCTTACAACTCTTATTACAATCCATACATCAATTGTATCAGGCATATTTATACATATGTTGCCATCATTCTTCTCTAGACATTTACTTTCTATTGAGTCCTTGGTATCAGCTCCTCTTCCCCCACCCCTACCCTTGTGACCCCTTGATAGATTATAAATTATTATTATTTTCATATCTCACACCAACTGCTGTCTCCCTTCCCCCATGGTTTCTGTTGTTCTTCCCCCTGGAGGGGTATATGTGGTTATGTGTCCATCACTGCGATTAGTTCCCCCTTCCTCCCCTCCCCTCCCCTCCCTATCTTTCCCCTGCCCATTCCTATTCCTGTATTCCGTGTGTTGTGAGCTTTTATCTCATATCTGTACCTGTGAACACGTTCAAGTCCAGTCCAGAGTGAGAAGCAGCATTGGGGTCATGACAGTGGGGAGTGAGGAAGCCTCAAGGAACCAGAGGAATATTGTGTGATCCATCAGTGCCCTCAGGCCCCACCATGGTCTTTTTCATAGCCTCATATTGAGAGAGCTAGCCTGCTGTTGTTCAAACACTGGAAATGTAACATAGTTTGGGATCTGATCTGCTAAGATTTAATTTGACTTAAGAGATCCAGGATGTAACACACACCCCTCCTCAAGAGTAAAAATTCCATTTAAAACTGTTAATTATTCAAGTCCTGGGCCTGTTGAAAAACCTGTTAATCATTCAATGATGCTCTTAATTGAGGAAAAGGGAAGTAAGGCCATTTAGATAATCAATGGTGCCTAAAGTCTAGGGTTCTGGGTCTGACAGCCCCTGGAGTAATGACGTTATCAAGGGATGGACTGATACTTCCTTGGGGAAATGTAAACCCTTTCCTGGGAACCTTGCTCCCATATGTCCTTTGATCATTGTAAAAACCTAATTACCTCCTGGGACTATAAAAAAGCCTGTTTCTTGTCATATAGCTTAAGATACACCACTTGATGGATTGGGCCTGAATTCTGAAACAACTCAGAAGTAGAAACCTGCTTGTGGCCTTCTGCCAGTGCTGGGAGGAATAAACTTAGAATTTCCCCTTTCCACCTGGTCGGCTTTGGGCTGCAGTGGGAGGCTGCCGCCACACAGCATGATGCATCTGGAAGTTGGACCATGTACCGTGGACTGCCAAAGGAACAAACAAATCTGTCTCTGGAGCAGTACAGCCAGAATGCTCCTTAAAAGCAAGGATGGCGAGGCTTCATTTCACATACTTTGGACATATTATCAGGAGAGACCAGTCCCGGGAAAAGGATATCGTGTTTGGTAAGGTAAGGGCAGCGACAAAGAGGAAGACCCTAGACAAGCTGCATGGACGCAGTGGCTGCAGCAATGGGCTCAAATGTCAGAGCAATTGTGAGGACGGTGGAGGACCGGGCAGGGTTTCCTTCAGTTGCACAGACGGTCACTATGAGTTGGAACTGACTGCTCTAACTACCACAGCTGCAGCCCTCTGGGCCAGGGTGGCACTGCCACTGTGGGTTCCTGAGTAGAAAGCCTCATCTTTCTCCCACAGAGCAGTTTTGGTTTCAAACTGTTATGTTACCACGATACCTCTTTTGTTTTCTTACTTCACTGGGGCTGTTACATCTCCTTATCACAATCCATATATTCATCCAGTGTGTCAAGCACACTTGCACATAGGCCGCCATCATCATTTTCAAAGCCTTCTCTTCCCACGTGAGCCCCTGAAAGCAGCTCCCATTTCTTCTCCCTCCTTCCCCACCTGCCCTCCCTCATGAACCCTTGATAAATTATAGATTATTCTTTTCATATCTTACATCATCCTCCATCATTTCTCACCCACTTTCCATTATTCTTTCCCCTGGGAGGGGGTTATAAGTTGATCCTTGCGATTGATTCACCCTTTCTCCCCCCACCCTAATCCTCCTGGTATCTCTACTCTCCTTGTAGGCCCTGAGGGCTTTATCTATCCTGGATTCCCTGTGTTGCGGGCTCTTATCTATAATAGTGTGCCTGGTCTGGTCTAATTCCAGGATACCTCTTTAAACCCCCAGGTAAGATTTTCATTTTATAAAAGATTTATTACTCTCAAATGTATTTTTTATATTATCAGCCACAACAAACCTTAAATATTTTATAGAAGAAGAGAATTTGAAATAAGAGAAAGGAAAGTTGTGTCAACAGACATACTAATACATGAATGCATGCTTGATTTTTATGCTTTACAGTTAAGTGGCATATCTATAGGCTCAATTTCTAATTCATCATGTGCGAGAGGGGAAAAAAACCAAACTATAGGTGTGACAGAGAAGAACAAGTTACTGGGCGTGAGAAAGAACTCTTCACTTAGGAGAGTCATCATAGGGGAGTATAATGAATGTATTCCCAAAAACACTTCTACAGAAAGTAAAGCCCTGGCCTTCCTAAAGCCATTACATATGTTATCTCCACTAAAGTTATTCGTTTCATGACAAGAAACGGTTAGGTAGTTAGCTTAGGGACAGGGGGGTTGTCCCTCCCAGGCCAGCAAGGGCCCCCAAGAGGAGGTTGGAAAGAAATCAGGCATCAATCGAACACCTATGAAGACCCCAAACTGAGCATGCACAGACACAAGCCCCCTAGGTTCAGGCAAAACCAATATCTTGGACACACCCACCTTAAGTACATCGCATAGCCAATGGGGTCAGCCAATACCATCAACCACACCTCCCCAGCCAGAGGTTTGAACTATCTTGGCTGTGGGGAGGCCTCTCTCTTTTGCCCTGCTCCTGGTCAGCGGCAGGTGGAGGGTGAGGGTCTCCTTCCTCTGCACAGGTGTATAGGTGCCCGCTCCAGGCCTACTCAGGGCCCACAGCCATTTGTCCCACAGCCTCTTGGCCTCCTTGCTCTTAGTCTCTAGGGTTCTTGGGCTTCTGGCCTCCGATGATCCCCAACCCCCCGCCAGTTCCACATGGGTAGGTGCCCTTTTTCACATAGTTGCTTGTGCCCAGTTGTGAACCCTAGCCTGGCTTCCGTGCAGGCTGGCACGCTTTCCAGAAATAGTGTGTACCCTTTTGAGGCTGGAAACCCTGACCCTGGTCTTGCCCTTCATAAAAACTCACTTGGATCACACAATGTGCTTCGGTGTGAATTCTTTCAGCATGTGAAACAAGGAACCCGAGGTCTAACCCATTCTAGAAACCAAAGAAATCTACACAATACAAGTAATTCTCTTGTTAGAAGGTAGGTACATGTTAAGGTAAGATGAGAGACAAGAGGATTCTCCCCAAACTGTAGCACTCTGGTGTTTGAAAAACTAGGAGTAGAATTCACTATATTAGACATTAAAATACTGCACATTACTCAGGTACAAGTGTGGATTAACTATAAGATGCTAGTCTGAGGAGACATTTTTTCCTAGATTCTTTATCAATTCCAATTATTGGACATCACAGTGTTGGCAAAAATGTCTACTTAAATGAGCATAACTTTCTATTTAAACAAACAAACAAACAAACAAACACACAGGCCCAGTGGCCAATTTTCATGCTTAATTTCACCAAGCACGTCAATGGGGCTGCTCTTCATATCAATACTTCAACTAATCATTAACACGCAGTACCTTCAAAATCGACCGATGGAAGAACAAAGCGAGGAGCTGAATAAGGTCATAAAGGACATAGCCTTCCTTTTTCTCCACTCCGATGATATTTGGGGGGTGGTAAGGCTTGTCTTTGTTCACTTCCACATTCTTATTCCAGGGAAAGAACCCAAATTGGAAGAAATATTTGATCACAATTGCCACCTGAATACAAATGATAGGGGAAAAGGGATGACTATTTTAGAAGCCTTTCTAGATGAGAAATAGAAAAGCAAACAAGTTGAAACAATGTCATTTCACAGTTTTGAAAATGGGAATGCCATGCACTTACAGGATCATTCCATCCTTCTTCTCAGCACAGTTTGCTTTGTAACAAAAGCCGTCCACGCTCACACGGGAGAGGCACACCCTGGGTTCACTGGCGAGCTCATTTCCCACACTTGAGGAGGAGTTGACAAACTTACACTGCTTTAGTTTGGCATTTACACCATTGTTCATAGATGAAAGGATGGCAATTAGGACAGACTTGAACAGGAGCATACATGTCTTTATGTGATGCTTTAACTTGCCATCGTTATGAACATATAGTGGAGATTTCATGTATATAATTTTCAGTTTCCACCGTATCCTTTTCTCCCCATGTTGTGGTTCACGGGACATTCTCAAGAAGAAAAAAAAAGAAACCCCCAAGCTGCCCGTTGTGCTCGCCGTGTATTTTGGGCACGCTTGCCGTGGTGGCATATGGTGAGATGAGAGGCAATGGGAACACTTATGAGGGTCATTTGTACATAGCCCCTCATGTCTACCTCATATAGAGTTAACGGGAAAATATGTAATTGACCAATGAAAATATCTTGTAGAACATCTTCTTGATCTAGATTCTCATTTTAACATCTTTCTCTCCTTGTTACGGCCATCTCTTCAAAGAACAGGCTATCAAACTGACCCCTCCCTACACGTATGTGACAGAGAGGACAACAGGAAAATTACAGATGGGGAAAGGGCCCTGCCTGCCACGTCCACATGGAGGCAAACCAAGAAGGAAAAAGAGAAAGGGAAGGTCCAGACCCCACAGCTGCACACCAAGCCTGGAGGCCGGCGTCCCTGCACAGAGCTGCTAAGACACAGAGAGGCCTGTAGAGCTGACAACAGCTCAAGGCATGCTGTCCCCACCCTGGAGCATACCGAGACAGAGGACAATACAGGGGACACATGGTGGAGAGTGTGTCCGGTCTGACCCACCCTCCTCCCTGACCCCTGCAGTGGAGCCAAGAAAGGGACATAACAGAACAGCAACGGGAGCAAAGGAAAGACACAAAGCCCCTGAAGGATCCCCCAAATAGACTTCAGGCTCAGAGGGGCAGCTCCCAGAATTCTCCCAGGACCAGGGGGAGACAGTCATAAAGGTCAGAGGACAGCATGTGATCATGAGGTATTGACAGGATCAGGTATCAGGCATCAAAGACCCAAAACAAAACAAAGAATGATATCACTGTGAATGAGGGGGAGGGCAGAGTGGAGACCCAAAGCCCATCTGTAGACAATGGTACATCCCCTCACAGAAGGGTCACAGGGAAGGGATGAATCAATCAGGGTGCAGTAAAGTATGGTTGAAACACACAATACTCCTTTTGGTCCTTGAGATTTCCTCACCCCCCTCTGTCATGACCCTAGTATTGCCTTTGACTGTGGGCTAGGCTGGAGCATGTGCACAGGTACGGATAAGACGTAAGAGCTTAGGACACATGGAATTCAGGAACAGGAATGGGAGTAGCGATACCAGGAGGGCAGGGTGAAGGTGGGGAGAGGAGGGGAGGACGGGGGAACTGATCGCAGTGATCAACACATAACCACCCCCACCCCCCGCCCCCCAGGGGGACAAACAACAGAAACCATGGTGGAAGGGAGACAAAGGTTAGTGTAAGATATGAAAATAATAATAATTTATAATTTATCAAGGGGCCACAAGGATTGGGGGGAGGAAGATGAGCTGACACCAATGGCTCAATAGAAAATAAATATCTAGAAAATAATGATGGAAACATATATATAAATGTGCTTGATACAACTGATGTATGGATTGTTACAAGAGCTGTGAGAGCCCTCAATATGATGTTTTAAAAAACGAACAGGTTCTCTTTTCTATCTCTACTTCCTTATCTCCCTCAGTTGCTCTTCACCTCTGTTCCTTTTCCTGGCTAATCACATCTTCTAGAACCTCGATCTCCCTCCCCTTCCAACCAGCCTCAGTCAGCGACTGAAATTCCTGTTATCCACCTACTCAGCTGCAATGCGATCACCACGGCTTCGCTCCAGAGCCTATTAGCTTTGGTTCTTAATTATAATGATTTTCCTACTGTCTTCATGCCTCCTCTTTTATGGCCTTTCTTATCTTCATAAAATTCCAAGATGGCCAAGCCATACCTTGGTCAAATTATTCACCATCATCATTCGTCCTTGGCCTAGTCCTGGTCAATATGTCATAGCTCCTTTAAGTTACTCTCCACTCACCTGCCACAGGAACCCACCTGCATTGCATGGAATGTGCTAGTTGTCTTATGCCTGTTCTGATTCTTTGCAAAGGCTATTTCCAGTGACTGGCGGTCCCTTTGCTTTCTCCTCCTGGAAGGTTTTAATCAACCCTTAAGACTCGGGTCTACATCTCTTCCACGAGAATTTGACATGATAACCTATCCTCCCTTATCTCCCAAGGGTTAATGTGATGCAGCACAAATATTACGCTGGTGCAAACCCCTCATGTAGGTCTATGCCATCCTGAAGGTTGAGTATTTGTTTACACCAGACTTATTTATCACATAAATCTATGAGTCGTTGAAAAACAGGACTTTTTTTCCTTTTTAAAATGGTTTTTGCGATAACAGTTGTATGAGCCCCTAATAAAATGCTAAAAAATAAAAATAAAAAATAAAATAAAATGGATTTTGCATTCTCATGTCTAGCATCGTTCTTGATTTTATAATATAGTCCAAAATGCAGCATGTATTAATATAATCTAATTTACTCCTCAGTGTGACAGACATCAAGAACCCAAAGTTAACTTAACCGTAGACATTATATTTTTAAGGCAAAAGCTATATAAATAGCTCTTTCATCCTTACATTGCAGCACTTCTTACTTCTCTCCTTGAAAAAAACAAAAGCAAACATAAAAATGGGGATCTGATCTTCTCTGTCACACAGAGGTATTAGAGAGTGGCATACCTCCCTAAATAGGTAGTCACTGTATGCTTGTGATCAGAAAGGGATGTTTAAGAAACATTATTTTGGCAAGGCTGCGGTAAGCTATTGATACATAGTTGAATCTGTATCTCTGCTTTTCATTCTGTACACAATGATCAGTACTTTGAACTGAAGACTTTTGAGATCTAATCTATATCTTCATTTTGTTTATTTATTAGCCTATTCAATTTCTAGACTGAACTATACATCCTTTATGAATAATATCTTTAAATAATCAATTACACTATCATCATAAGTGACAGCTTTTCCTTAAAAATCAGAAAAAGGTGCTTGCTTTAGCAACACATATGAGACAGAGATTAGCAAGACTCCTCAGCCAAGATGACATTCAAATTCATGAAGCATTCCATATTTTTCTTTATTATTTTCTTTGTTTTATTGCTTCTGATATGTTTCCCAGTTTATGAAACACAGAAGGATTGGATGTGTAGAGATAGTAACTGGTGCCCTGGTTTATTGGGGATGAAGGCGGGGGCGGGAAGGTTGAGAGGAATTGGGGAATAAATTATGAATGGGGGAAGGTGGACTAGAACTCATTGTGATGATGGATATACAACTCTTTTTAAAAGCAAATTAAAAGAAAATAGACTGCAAAAAAAAAGTCAAGTGAGAAATTTAGCTGTTTTATCAGGCTACAAATAAAAGTACATTAGGATCCCACACACCAAAGTCTACTGAGCCGTGTTTATATTTCTAGTGCTTAGTTTTCATGGCAATGGGTGCTCTCCTTTCTTGCCGGGCAGGAGAGAAGCCTGGTAGTAACATCTGGCCGCGTGCCATTTGCTCACTCACACGTGGAACCAATGGGCTGGCAGTTCTCCCTTTCAGTCACTCAGAGTTTGAATGGGAGCTCATGCATAATTTGATGAGTGAAAAATTGCCTTACGGGTTTCAAAATGGAAAATATTTAGGTCACATCACACTACATTCAAAGTGCTTGACTGTACGGTACTATTTCACTCTGTGTAGATGACCTGAACTCCTGCAGATGCCAGGCACTACGCTTGAATCTGAATGAGACTTTTGTTATTTTCGTGGCCAATACTAGCTTAAGGTGACCAGACGTCCCGCTTTTGGCGGGACAGTCCCAATTTTTAACAATTTTCCCTGTGTCCCACAGCATTTTAAAAAAATCCTGATTTTTGGAAAGAATGCATGACAAGCTAGGGTATATATGGTTTTCGGCTGCCATGTGGCTATTTCGCCAGGATATGAGTTTTATCAATGGTGTCCCACTTTACCAATGTTAAAATCTGGTCACCTTATACTAGCTGTCTGTCAAAAACAAAGTCAGCACTCCCCAGTGAAGTATGTTGAGCCAATGGTTCAATCTCAGTAAACCTATTTATATATTTATATTTATATATTTTATTTAAAAATATATATATTTAAAATTATTTTGTTGGGGGCTCATACAAATCTCATCACAATCCATACATATATCCATTGTGTCAAGCACATATGCACATTTGTTGCCCTCATCATTCTCAAAACATTTGCCTCCCACTCTAGCCCCTAATATCAGTTGCTCATTTTCCCCCTCCCTCTCTATGACCCCCTCCCTCATGAACCCTTCATAGTTCATAAATTACTACAGTTCTATCATAAGTTACCCTGTCCGATGTTTCCCTCCGCCCTCTTCTCTGCTGTCCATCCCCCAGTGAGGAGGCGATACTTAGATTTGTGTAATTGGTTCCCCACTTCTATCCCACATTGCCCTCCAGGC